TAATATTGTTCAGTAAAATCCAACAGACAAACTTTAATTTCTGATAATATTGTTCAGTAACATCCAACAGACAAACTTTACTTTCTGTTAATATTGTTCAGTAAAATCCAACAGACAAGATTTACTTTCTGATAATATTGTTCAGTAAAATCCAACAGACAAACTTTAATTTCTGATAATATTGTTCAGTAACATCCAACAGACAAACTTTACTTTCTGTTAATATTGTTCAGTAACACCCAACAGACAAGCTTTACTTTCTGTTAATATTGTTCAGTAACATCCAACAGACAAACTTTACCTTCTGTTAATATTGTTCAGTAACATCCAACAGACAAACTTTACTTTCTGTTAATATTGTTCAGTAACACCCAACAGACAAGCTTTACTTTCTGTTAATATTGTTCAATAAAATCCAACAGACAAACTTTACCTTCTGTTAATATTGTTCAGTAACATCCAACAGACAAACTTTACTTTCTGTTAATATTGTTCAGTAAAATCCAACAGACAAACTTTACCTTTTGTTAATATTGTTCAGTAACATCCAACAGACAAACTTTACCTTCTGTTAATATTGTTCAGTAACATACAACAGACAAGCTTTACTTTCTGTTAACATCGTTCAGTAACATCCAACAGACAAATTGATTTGAACTCAACACACAAGTATTAATTTGTAAATAACACGATTAAAAACATCTAATGTAATCTATCAAAATCATGTAAAAATTGTCCAACTACATAAATCATGTTATTAATATTTTCCAGGTTGTTTCTTTTTTTAAAGAAACTTGACGACGTAGTAGTTAGAAAAATTACAACACTGGATCATTAATGTGTACGGATTGTACCGAGCTCACGGTCTCTGTCGACTTCTACTCGGTGAGATACGTGAAAGAGTTCGTGTAACGTGCGGCTAGATGAAAGTTACGGAGCGCAGTCGGAAACTGTCACTGACGCCAGTGCGCATGCGTGCGACATCAGATTTGTATTTAACCATTCCGTTCATAAAACTTTGGATCAGTTGCACCGAGTGGAAGCTCGAGTCACGTGGTCATAAAGCGCATCCAAAAGGAGACAAAGGAAAGTGGCGAACGTCGAATTCCTAAGCTCGTTCCTCCGCTAAGAATTACCAGGTATCCCTCCATGAATCCTACTGTCCCGTCTGTCAATGTAACTTTGCACTCCCAGGACAACGTGACCATTTCTCAGCAAGCAGGTATCGAGATATACGAGGTGCCTGTGAGTGTCATCAGTTTACTCTCTGTATGCTATGGTACCGTATCGCTCTTGGCGGTGCTGGGAAACTTTTGTGTGTTATGGATTGTGGCTACTAGCCTCCGGATGCAAACGGTTACCAACTTTTTCATCGCGAATCTGGCTTGTGCGGACATCATTATTGGACTCTTCTCCATTCCATTCCAGTTCCAGGCGGCGCTGTTACAGCGATGGGTCCTACCTGAATTCATGTGTGCTTTCTGTCCTTTTGTCCAAACGTTGTCCGTGAATGTCAGTATCTTCACGTTGGCGGCCATCGCTCTCGATCGGTACCGTGCCGTCATGTATCCTCTCAAAGCCCGAACTACGAAACTCAGGGCTAAGTTTGTTATCCTGGGTATTTGGGCGTTCGCCGCGACGACCAGTGTACCCTATGCGTTAGCCCTAAGGGTAACCTACGTGTACGACCCCATGACGAAGAACTACACCAAACCCTTCTGTGACAATGTGGGTGTTCCACAGTGGGTGTGGAAAACGTACAACCCCGTACTGGTTTGTTTGCAGTATTTCTTTCCGTTATTTGTCATCAGCTACGCATACGGAAAAATGGGTCTGAAACTGAAGGATGCACGAGCACCTGGAAACGCCGAAGACGTCCGAGACGCGGGGATTCTTCGCAACAAACGAAAGGTGCGATATTCTCATCTCCGTCATCTTCTTGATTAATGTATTCTTAAGTAATACATACAGCTTGAAGTTTTGGTTCGGCACCATAGATTCTCTACAGTATGACTTAAAATGTCCAATCAGATTTCTAAGGTAG